ATATTAACAGAGGGAATATTTTGGGACTAATTGAAAGCAATGTTTCACGAAACAAGAATCTTTCAAGGCATCCTGTGAGAGTATTAGAATTGGACTTTCTTTCTCCCGATATCCCTCAAGAAATTCTCGAACAACTGCCAAATATTTCTGTGATCATTGCGGCAGACAGTGAGTATATACTTTAAGACACCAGAAAATATTCGGTTCTCTCCGCTTTATTGCCTCGAAGCTCTTGGCAGTAAGTGTTTTATCAGAAATCTTAATATTTCAGCCAATAAACATTTCTTTGCACACACATACAATTTTGATTAGAAATTTACAATATTCAACAATTATATACAGTGTGACCCATTTAGATCCAAATTTTTTTTTAATGTCATGTAATAAAAGGTCTATTGCGGGACAAAATATGAAATATTTAGTTAATTTTTCAGGGCATTCTACGATACTTGTTCTTTGTCGAAAATGGAGAATTTGTATTAGCGATTTTTTTATTAAAAAAATTTCTACGCCACTGGATTTAGAGTGGCTTCAAATAACAATGACACAAATTTCATTAAGATATATTTATTAACAACAAACTTATGACAACTTAAAATTTTAAAACTCACTAAGAAAAAACACTCTGTATTAACGTTAAAAAAACACTTTGTATTAACAGAAACATGGAAATATAATTTTAGTTTAAATCCTAGTTGTCTCTATCAATCCACTATCTAACTGGATACATTTGTCGTAGCTTTTATGAATATTTCTTACTACATTTCTTAGTTGTTGGGGAGTAATTTCTGCACATGCCTGTCGAATCATTGCACGAAGTTCGTTTACGTCTCTGGCACGGGTCTGGTAAACTTTTTGTTTTAGACTCCCCAGAGAAAGGAGTCTAAAATTGTGAGATCTGGAGATCTGTCATAGCTATTTGAAGCCACTCTTAATCCAGTGGCGTAGAAATTTTTTTAATAAAAAATCGCTAATACAAATTCTCTATTTTCGACGAAGAAAAAGTATCGTAGAATGCCCTGAAAATTTAACTAAATATTTCATATTTTGTCCCGCAATAGACCTTTTATTACATGCCAAAAAAAATTGGTTAAAATTGGTTAACAACTTCAAATTTCATAGAGGTGTTTCCAATCTAAATGGGTCACACTGTATATACCGGGTGGTGAATCGCCAAACAGGCCACAGGAAACACAATGGGAAATTCTAAATTGTTGAATTTCTGCTTCCCTGATTATTTTACATCAAAACTCATAAGAAGCTATTTTAGGGGACTGAAATCTGTATTAAAAACAATTTTTAAAATTGTTCTATGAATTAAGTGTACTCTACAATTTTGCAAACAATTTTCAAGTCACTTCTTAAAGTCAGGTCACACGCTGTGCAAGAATGTGTATGACATGTTGCGTTTGGTCATATTGATGTTTCTGATATTTGACAATATTTGAATTGTCAATATTTTTTTGTTTTACCGAAAAAAAATTTTGTTTTTTTTTTTATTTTACCAAAACGGTAAATAGTTACTTTTGTAAACATGTAAATCAATAATTGTAACTTTACCAAAGTTCAATCGAACAGTAATCACAATAACGCCTTACTCTCACGAATAATCCAAGCACTTCCCGACTATGCTTGCGCACATCCACATCAATATCACTATCAATACACTTCCAATTCGACCCATCCTTAACAACAAAAATCTTCAATAAACTTTTATGTGATCCCTTCTAAAAAAATAATATGTATAATCAATACCTAAACAACAATATAACAAAATAATAGGGACTTGCTACGCTTCTCATATATTCAGACACTTTGATATGGTAATAATTTTAATATATTTATGTAATACGTTAACATGGTATAATTACAATAACTATACATACCAAAAGACGTATCGACGCTAGAAACTACAATGAATGTACAGGATACAACTCAATACTAAATCCTAAACTGAGAAGCCCTATAGAAGATGCCGTAGTATATCACCTATATTTTTCCGACAGGGTGGTAGAGTGTAATTAGAGACGATCTCTATGCTCTAACCAACACTACCCTCGCTAACTTAAAATCCGCCTCCCTATCATCCAATCATCCACTGAACACTAGACCAAAGTATCCTAAATATACCATACATAATATGCATTTTATATGCCCATAAAATAAATATTTTTAATATTTTAGGGCTTCAGATTTGGCTGGGAAATATTTTTCACCCAGAAAATTTGCTGTAAAAATCTCTCTTTATCCTCATTTCCAACATCTGAGGTTGCGAAGGACACCATATCAATCTGTAACATCACTTTGGGTATTTTTTTCTATCTACGACCTCTTCGACCTTATCATAAAAGATTTCTTTTTCGTCTGCATTGCTTGTTTCTGTGGGGGTGTATAAATTCAAGACTGATATATTAAATGGTTTGCTGTTGACTCTAACATAGGCCATCCTTTCGCATATTGGCTTAAAATTTATAATTTTCTCTCTTAGGTGCCTTAGTATCATGAATCCTACGCCTTTTTGCCCTTGCTTCTTTCCTCCTGAATATAACATTGTAAAGTCTTGTTTATCAATCTGTCCCTGTCCCTCCCAGCGTAATTCTTGCAGTGCTGCAATATCTATTTTATACTTTTTGAGTTCTTTTCCTATTTCTAGCATTTTTCCTGGAGCTAGCATAGTTCTTATGTTCCATGTGCTTATTTTCAACTCTTTATTTTTTTTGTTCTGTTGTCTTCGTCCTTTATTTTTGTTTTCTTGTCCATCTTTCTTTATTTCACTTTTGTTGTTTTCGGGTTTATCCGCAGTCATTTCCTGTTTCTTTGCCTTATCCGTCAACGAATAATCCTCTCATCCCTTGCTAGTTTTTTGAACCACCTCCATGATGTTCCTCCAGCTGGTTAGTGTTTCTATTCCATCTCCTTTCTAGACCATATATTATAAGTTTGTTTGCTTTAATTTGGACACGTTTACCTTTCTTTATTTCATCTTTTGCTATTCTTCATATTTCCTTCTGTACTTGTAATTCCTCTGTCGTTGGATCATTGTTTATATATATTTTTTCTTTTTTCACTGCTTCAAGTTTACTTTTGTTTTCCATAATTTTTGTTTTTTCTTTTTTGTTTGGCAATCTGACTAAACATCTCCTATCTCCTAGTTTCACTGCTTCATCCATATTTACGGTAATATTTAGCTTTTTTGTCATAAAATTTTCTATCACTTCTTTTACTATTCTTCTATCTCCAGTTTCTATTGTCATTCCTTGTAAGATCACATTATTTTCTTTTCTTATTCTATCCAGCCTTTCAAGGCATCCTTTTGTCTCATTCAGATCCTTTTTGATTTGTTCATTTTCTTTCCAGATTTCACTATTCTCTTGTTTTAGTTCTGCTAGTTCAGTTTTGAGTTCCCTCATTTATTCTCTGTATTATTTTTGTTCCGTTTTTTACTTCTTTTATATCAGTTTTTAATTCTTTTAACTCTATTGTTAAATTTTTTATAATATTTAGTATTTGATCTATTTTGTTGTCATCTTTGTGACTTTTAACTGGACTTTTTTGTACTTTTTTACTGGGACCAAATAACAGTTCCTCTTCTTCTCTATTTCTTTTCCGATTGTCATCGGATGTATTATCATCTGAATCCATATTTTTGCTGCTACTACTCGCGATAGAGCCAACCTCCCCACTCAACGCGTCGAAGGAAGATGGTTCTCTTAAGTAGTAGCTTGTAGTAATTTATTTTCTCGTTTTCTTCCTGGATAAATTAATTTTCAATTAAAATAATTTAAGTTACTTTTGAACGGTTTGATGTGGCAACGCCCACCTCTAGCTTTTAAAACTGATATTATACATAAAGTTAATTACCTGAGTTACGAAAGTCAAAACCGAAAACGGATTTTAAAAAAATTTTATTTTCGTAACAAAATTTATTTTTGAGAACGTACAGGTATGGTAACAACTACAAAACAAAAAGCTCTTAATCTAATTAAACACTGGTATATATAGTCTTTCTATATGTCGTCACATATTGGATAATCCAGGGACGTAACTCCTCCACCCTTAGAAAGAAGGATATCCTTGGGATGTGCTTCTTTACAAAATTAATTCCGGGGTTTCTTCTTTTCTTCTTTCTTCTTGTTTTCTTTGACGCACATTTTTACAATATTTAGTTAAATAATATAAAATTAAAATGAAAATTATTATATATATACAGATTGTCCAAAAACTTGTTTGTTTAAAATAAATTGAATTATTATCTTTCAAATTATATTTTTGTGTTTCTAACTTTTCTAAAATATCTTTAGTCTTTCTAAGGTTAATTGTATTAAGATTTATTGGTGAAAAATTTGAACTTTCATTTTGAAAAATATTAATAGAAGGAATAACTTTTGGAAGATTTATATGAGCAAAATGAGTTTTACTAAATTTTTCTGTTTGGAAGACTTCATTCTTGATTTTCACGGTACAATCGGGAACTGATTCTAAAACATAGCTTCCATGTATTGGTAAATTTTCTTTTGAATTTGGGCATTCGATAATTGCTAATTCTTCTTCTGGAACTATAACTATCCATTTTCCGTCGCTAATTCTTGTGGATTCTATCTTCTTTATCTTTACTTCAAAATGTTCACATGATAATGCCTTCTTCTTAAAATTTATTAATTGGACTGCACAAGGGGCTTCTTCGGTTATCGTTAGTTTATTACTTCCTTTACATATGTACTCTTCTGAGTCTATTTCTGTGCATATATCTTCCATATAGATATAGCTAAATTCATTAAGTGCAAGGAAAGGTTTGTAAGGTAAATGAATAAGATAATTTGAGTTGTTCATAGGAATAGGAATAGGGAATAGTTGGTAATAATCATATATTTCCGATTCAACTAATGGAATCTCTAATACAAATGTTATTATAGAATTTACTGAATAGCTCTTAATATTTATTATTTTCTCGTACTGAATTATTTTTTCTAGTGTAGTATCAAAAGGCATTAATTTTAACTTTGTCTGAGATTTTGCTTTCTTAATTTCATTTAAAAGTTCAATTGGATTTACTATAGAATTGTGCAAGGTATTTATTTTAGCAAATGAGATTGCAGTTTCTACTTTCTCAAAGATATCATAAATTGTTTGATAAAGTAAAGTAATTTGATTTATTACTATAAATGACT